TAGATGTGCGGAAGAAAACTAAATGTACGAAATGGAAAATGAAACGTAGGAAATGAAAAGTGAGACGTGTGAAATGGAATAAGGGATGTGAGAAATGAAAAATGGGATGTGCGAAATGAAAAATAGGATGTGGAATGAAAAATAAGATTTGTAAAATGAGAAATGACAACTGCGATACAAGAAATGAGATGTGCGAAATGATAAATGAGATGTGAGAAATGAAAAACAGTACGTGCAAAATGAAAATAAAGAAATAAAAAATGAATAGTTTGAAATAAAAACTAGATGTGGGAAATGGAAAATGAGATGTGCAAAAGGAAAAATGAGATGTGGAAAATGAGAAATGTTGTATGTGAAATGAAAATGGAATGTGAGAAATGAGAAACTAGATGTGTGAAATGAAATATGAGATGTGAAAAATGAAAAATCAGATGTGAAAAATAAAAAATGAAACATGCGAAATGAAAAGTGGGACGCGTGGAATGAAAAATGAGATGTGTGAAATGAGAAGTGCAAAATAAAAAATGCTATCTGCGAAATGGAAAATGAGATGTGCGAGGTAAAAACTAAATGAAAGAAATGGAAAGTGATTTGTGTGAAATGAAATATGAAATGTGAGAAATGAAGAACGGGATGTGCGAAATGAAAACAGGATGTGTGGAATAAAAAATGAGATGTGTAAAATGAGAAATGAGACGTGCGAAACAAGAAATGAGATATACGAAATGAGAAATTAAGTGTGCTAAATGAGAATTGAGATGTGCAAAATGAAAAATGAGAATGGGAAATTAAAAATTAGATGTGCGAAATGATAAATGATATGTGAGAAATGAAAAACAAGACGTGCAAAATTAAAATAAGATGTGCGAGATGAAAAATCAAATGTGCAAAATGAAAATAAGATGTGAGAAATGAGAAACATCACTTGCAAAAAACAAAAAATAAAACGCGCAAATTGAAAAATGGAATGTGTGGAATGAAAAACTAAATGTATGAAATAGAAAATGACCATTTTTACATAAATAATAAATTTCAATATTTCAGTTAGAAAATATATTTGTATGATAGGGATTTTTTACAGGATGACCACAAATGAGAAGTGCGAAATGAAAATGAGATGTGAGAAATGAAAAACGTCATGTGCGAAATGAAAAATCAGATGGAAAAATAAAAAATGAAACGAGCGGAATGAAAAATGGAATGTGTGGAACAAAAAATGGGATGTGTGGAATGAAAAATGAAATGTGCGAAATGAGAAATGAGATGTACGAAATGAGACGTGCGAAGTAAGAAATGCTATGTACGAAATGAAAAATAAGATGCGCAAAATGATAAACTAGATGTGCAAAATGAAAACTAAATGTACGAAATGGAAAATGAAATGTGAGAAGTGGGAAATGAGATATGTGAAATGAAATATGAGATGTGAGAAATGTAAAACGGAATGTGTGAAATGAAAAATAGGATGTGTGGAATTTAAAATGAGATGTGAGAATTTGAAGTGAGATATGTGAAATGAAATATGAGTTGTGAGAAATGTAAAACGAAATGTGCGAAATGAAAAATAGGATGTGTGGAATGAAAAATGAGATGTGTAAAATGAGAAATATAACTTGCGAAACAAAAAATGAGATGTGCGAAATGAGAAATTAGGAGTGTTAAATGAGAATTGAGATGTGGAAAATGAAAAATGAAAATGGGAAGTGAAAAATTAGCAGTGCGAAATGAAAAATGAGACGTGAGAAATGAAAAACAAGACTTGCCAAATGAAAATATAAAGGGGAAAAATGAAAAATAAAAAGTGCGAAATAAAAACTAGATGTGCGAAATGGAAAATAAGATGTACGAAAGGAAAAATGAGAAATCCCATGTGTTAAATTAAATGTTCAAAATGAAAAATGAGATTCGCGAAATGAAAATGAGATATGAGAAATGAGAAACGAGATGTATGAAATGAAATCTAAGATGTGAGAAATGAAAAACGACATGTGCGAAATGAAAAATCAGATGTGAAAAATAAAAAATAAAACGTGCCAAATGAAACATGAGATGTGTGGAAAGAAAAGTGGGATGCGTGAAATGAAAAATGAGCTGAGCGAAATGAGAAATGAGATGTAAGAAAAGAGAAATAAGACGTGCGAAATAAGAATGGTATCTGCGAAATGAAAAATGAGATGTGCAAAATGAAAATTTAGATGTGCGAAGTGAAAATTAAATGTACAAAATGGAAAATGGGATGTAAGAAATGAAAAATGAGATGTGGCAAATGACGAAATTGAGATGTGAGAAATGAAAAACGACATATGCGAAATGAAACATCACTTGCGAAAAATAAAAAATAAAACGCGCAAATTGAAAAATGGGATGTGTGGAATGAAAAAACTAAATGTATGAAATAGAAAATGAGATGTGGGAATTTGAAGTGAGATATGTGAAACGAAATATGAGATGTGAGAAATGTAAAACGGAATTTGTGGAATGAAAAATAGGATGTGTGGAATGAAAACGACAAAACTTGCGAAACAAAAAATGAGATGTGCGAAACGAGAAATTAGGAGTGTTAAATGAGAATTGAGATGTGGAAAATGAAAAATGAAAATGGGAAATGAAAAATTAGCTGTGCGAAATGAAAAATGAGATATGAGAAATGAAAAACAAGATTTGCCAAATGAAAACAAAATGGGGAGAAATGAAAAATGAAAAGTGCGAAATAAAAACTAGATGTGCGAAATGGAAAATGAGACGTGAAAAATGAGAAATCCCATGTGTGAAAGGAAAAATCAAATGTACAAAATGAAAAATGAGATTCGCGAAATGAAAATGAGATATGAGAAATGAGAAACGAGATGTATGAAATGAAATCTAAGATGTGAGAAATGAAAAACGACATGTGCGAAATGAAAAATCAGATGTGAAAAACAAAAAATAAAACGTGCCAAATGAAAAATGGGATGTGTGGAAAGAAAAATGGGATGCGTGAAATGAAAAATGAGCTGAGCGAAATGAGAAATGAGATGTAAGAAAAGAGAAATAAGACGTGCGAAATAAGAAATGCTATCTGCGAAATGAAAAATAAGATGTGAAAAATCAATAACTGAAACGTGGGAAATGAAAAATAGGATGTGTTAAATGAAAAATGAGAAATGAGACGTGCGAAACAAGAAATGAGATGTGGAAAATGTCAAATTAGGTGTGCTAAATGAGAATTGAGATGTGTAAAATGAGAAATGAGAATGGGAAATGAAAAACTAGATGTGCGAAATGGAAAATGAGATGCACGAAACGAAAAATGAGATGTGGAAAATGAGAAATGCCATGTGTGAAATCAAAAATGAGATGCGCGAAATAAAAAATTCTGCTATGAGAATTTATTAATCCCAGTAGAATTTATTTAAAAATTCTTAATATAATTATTTAAAAAACATTATCTGGCGCACTTCCATTTTTATTTAAAAAATAAATTTCAATCAGTCCGAAAATGTGTTCGACAAGAAATTTTCTCAGAATCACCAGTAGGTTATTACCTTTACCTTAATTTCTTGATTAAGAATAGAAAATATTTTTTTTTGAAAAAGAGAAATATTTTATAAAACGATCCAAAAATTACACGTACTTATGATTACTTACGATTTTTTTTATCCTACTATTTGCAAGGATAACAACGATAAACGGAACTCGGTGAAACTCGGCAAAAATGTATCAATTTTACAATTACATAAATGCTGAAATTTATTAAAGCACAGTTTCCGAAACAAAAAACTTTTTCATGAAAAATTTGTTAGGTTTTTTTTTGTTCAAGATTTTTTACGAAACATTGCATCCACCTCATTTTCAATTTGATAGACTGAAAAATCACAGATATTTTTTCAAATTAGACACTGATATAAATAGAATCATAAGGACCCGTGACGTCCTTGGAAAACCATTTCTACTTTCAGTATTTCAGTCTGAAAATATGTCTGCATGACACGATCGTTTTTCAGGATCAGGAATCTGTTCTTATCCTCGCCGTCTGCTCTTAAAAAAAGTCTCTTTGAAAAAAAATCCGAAAATTAGACGTCTAGTGTAAAAATAAACAGAATTTGAAACCTAGCAAAAATGATCAATTCTACGACTCGATAAGTACTGAATTTTCCTAAATGAATGAGCTTTTTCACTAAATGTTCCAATACTCGGTTAACCAAAGGTATGAAATACAATCTACTCTAATCTAGCTTTTCAGAACTACTGTAAAATTTTGTCAATGAAGTTCACACTGGACAAAGCACATTTAATTACCGAACAGGAACCTCCTATATAAAACCAATTAAATTTTCTGCCGCCATAACTATTTATTAAAGGCCTGTCCACGCTCAAAAGGTTAGTGAATGTCGATTATTATAGATTAGCTTGATGGGTAATTTATTAAGCTTACACAACATGCCATAATCCACAGACCTGATAGCTACAGAATAATCAATGACGCAAATACTATTACTCATGTCCAACACCACGTGAAAAACGCAAACACACATTCATTTTTTTAATAAAAAATGAGCACATGCGAATTACCTTAAAGCTCCAAATGAAAAAATAACCAAATGGTGTGTTATTTACACGTATCTTCCAAGAATAAGCTCAGCTTTCGTCTGAGGCGAGAAAAATCCGTCTTGCGTTATTATGTGCACAATGCATAATGCGCCTATTCTGCGAAGAACATTATCGTCTAACGTGAAAATGGTGAAAAGCTTTTGAAATCCGCGTCCAAGAAGTGTACAATATTCCGCCCACTTATCATCCCATTATATTACTTTCATTTATTGTAAATGGGGAGTTTCAACAATGAATTCTTCAAATAGAACCTAAATCAAATTAAGCGCTGCATGCAAGCGCTAAGAGCTGAAATGGGATATTCTCTTTTAATTAGGAAGTAGTAACAGTTCACTGGAGCACGAACCACGTTTTACAGTCGAAGTCAATTAAAATAGACACTCAATCCGTAAAAGAGGCGCTAAACTTACTAGATCTTTGATTCTTTATGAAGTATAGTTGCAGTCGTTCCTTAAATGTATTTTCATTGACATAATACTCCACTCGCACCCTGAAACAAAAAAACTGAATTAGTGTCTGAAACTCAAACCAGCAGCAACAAGAATTTCAAACTTCTATAGTGAGCTTTCCACTTTCTTCTAATTTACTGGAGTCGCTCGAAAAACTGTAAAAACTTTTAATTGTGTCAACCACCTCAGAAAAGCTCGTTAGAACCGTTTAAATATTTGACACAGAATAAACTGCAACGTCGGGTCGGAGTACTTCGGATAAAAGCAAAAAAGAAAATTAGGTTTTCACTACTCTCCCCGATAAAAAAATTCCGGCAATTCCACCAGGTTTTGCTTTTTATGCCACTAACTGCTTTATAAAGTTTGTTGTACGAAATTAGTTTCAAATTGGATTGGAACCTCCCTGATTACTCAGCTCATCTTCTCCCACCCCGAACACAATTAAGCCAATCTAGCAGCGACAAACTACACATCTGAAGAAGTCCGGTGATAAATTCGTTCTTTTGTCTGCTGTCATTTTTCAGCGAAGCCGTTACTCATTCAAAGGCGGTCTTTAATTCCGACCATAAATTTTAAATCCATTGTGTGATCGAATTAGTAGATTGGGGAGGATCGATAAGTCGGTTTTTATTTATTAAAAGGTGGCGGAGACCATGGGGTGGCCTACGAATAAATAAACAGGTTAGGGGTGGAAGTGCACAAAAACAAGTTCGGCATGGATGGTGATAAACAAATCGATGAAAACGAAAACGACTTCACAAAATTATACAAAAATTGCTGGGTGCATTGTTCTTTACTACAAGTGGTCTAAAAAACCCATCTCGAGATCGTTATTATCTCACGACTTGCGTAAATAAAACCCATTTATCTTAGCTGAGACGATAAAATGAAGCGTTGACTCTCCAAACTACTACAAAAAACCAATTTACTCGCCGCTTTGGGTAAAAAATATATGAAAGTTCGTCTGAAGCGGTAACTTGCTGTAGAAATATGCTTTTTAAGCGGCTATTTCGTGCGATGGATTACTTATTTGGCGTTACGTTCAAGCATACAATAAGAAAATGCATAAAATTTTCAACGTGTTATGTTTAAATGTGTGGGGAAAGTTTGTTAATAAAGTTTTAGTACTGGGGAATTTTCCAAACAGCCGGAAGTTGGTAATATTTTATGGCTTGTTTACTTCCATGAAGATAATTTAAAATTCGCTTTGCAGCTTTAATAAGAATACTCACAAACTGGCTGAAGTTGTGGCTGTTACTGGGAAATTAGACACATTTTATTAATACTAAATGGAATGGGTGAGTAAATATTTACAGGAAATGGAGGACGAATTGCTACTTTCGGTTTACGGTAATTTAAAATTCTAAATAAATAACGTTGTGAGGAAACATCATTTCTTTTAAAGTAAGTCAGCTGTACGTGAAATTTTTTATTCTATGTGAAAAACATCATGCGGAAAATTTACTTCTTGTCCTTTGTTATCGCAGTTCACAACTAAATGTGTATTTTTTGTTTTTTTATTTTTTCAAGGGGAGGAAAAGGTTACAAACAAAAACAGTTTAATGTACGTCATTTCTTAACTTCGATTTTTTAGTAAGAAACTTTTTTTTCATCTTCAACATTCTTAAATAAAACTTTAAATTTGAATGTTTGAACATTCTTATTAATTTATCTCCAGGAGCCTTCAAAATATTTGTACAAAAATTCAAAGTCGAAAAAAATTAAATATATGTATTACGTACATGGTTTCTTAATTTCAAGTTTTATAACCACAAAGTGCGAGATCTAACGGACTAAGATCTGAAAATTAATAACCTTATGGCTGAAAGAAGATACAGAAATTTAGGACTGTGGATTTAGTGTTTTTGTTTACTCCCAATTTATAATTTTGTTGGAATTTAATTTTGTCAAAGAAACGCTTAAATTCTTTAAAATTTCTTTGGTTTTTTTTAAGTCAACAAACAAAAATGTTTAAATTAATTTTATCCCGGCGCCTCCTCCATTTTTTCCTAAAAATTATTTTATCCATTTCGGTTCGAAGATGTAGGTATGTGATAAGAACACGATACTCCAAAACATGTTTTTCATTTCTTGGGAAATACGGATTTTGCAATTAAGCTCCGCCCCCTTGGCTCACGACAAATAAAAAAATTCATCAGAAATGAGATAGGGTGGGTGGGCGGGGTTTATATTTTGTCTTTGTTTTCTGAATATACATAGCCATCTTTACACAACAAGAAACTTAAAACATGCTTAAGATGGTATATTTTTGCAAAAAAATATGGATTTTGCAATTAGGGGGCGGAGTCTAATTACAAAGGCGATATTTTCTTATACAAATTTTCCATTTTAAAAATGTTTTAAGTTTACAGTTGTAAAAAGAAATCTACACGTAATAAAACAAAAAGGCAAAATGTAAGCCCGCCCACCCGCCCTGTCTCAATTGTGATGATTTTTTTTATTCGCCGTGAACCAAGGGGGCGGAGCTTAACTGCAAAATGCTTATTTCTTTACAAGAAATTAAAAACACATTTTTCAATATCGTGTTGTTCAAAGAATGCTATGTATGTTAAGAGAAAAAGGTAAAATATAAAACCCCACCCACCCACCCCATCTCAAGTACGATGATTTTTTTAATCCTTTGGAATTTAAAACACGTTTAAAATGGTAAATTTTGTAAGGAAATATGGATTTTGCAATTAGGCTCCACCCCTAGATCTGCCAACGAATGAAGACTTCATTACTATTTAGATCAAGGCAGGTATGGGCGGGCCTTAATCTTTGGCTTTAATTTTTTTCTCAATATATGTAGACTTATTTCGATAATAAGAAAATTAAAACATGTCTAAAATGGCAATCTTTTGTGTAATCAACTTAAAAAAAATCTTTATTGTGGGAGAAATCAAATTGTTCCCAAAATTGGTTGTTATTCGTAATTCAAATTTCTCCATAATCTGCAAATTATATATGGGTGGGGCTTCTATTTTGGTTTACTTTTTTAAATAATACATTTAGTATTTTTTGTACAACACGATTACTTAAGAACACATTTCACATGGTAATTTCTCGTAGAAAAATAAAGATTTTACAATTAAGCTCCTCCCTTCGGCTTACGACGAATAACAGAAATCATCAGAATTGAGATAGGGTGGGTGGGCGGGGCTTATATTTTGGTTTTCTTTTTTAATTAATACATTTAGTTTTGTTTGTTTAACACAATTACTGAATAACATACTTCACATGCTAATTTCTCTTAGGAGAATAAGGATTTTACAATTAAGCTCCGCCCCTCGGCGAACGACGAATTAAAAAAAATGATCAGAATTGTGATAGGGTGGGCGGGCGGGGCTTAAGTTTTGCCTTTTTTTTCTGAATATACATAACCATTTCTTCACAACAAGAAACTTAAAAAATGGTTAAGATTGTATATTTTTGCAAGGAAATATGTATTTTGATATAACGGGGCGGAGCCTCATTGCAAAATCGATCTTTCCTTATACAAATTTTCCATTTTAAACAAGTGCCCTTTGATTTTTTTTTTAATCCTGAGGCATAGTTTTTTATCCAAAAAATTAAATTCGACCATTTCGGTCCGAAAATGTGACTGCATGATACGGAAGTTTTCTAGGGTTAAGAATTTCTCCTTGTTTTCGCCATATAACTTCTTCAAAAACTAACAAAAAATTGTTTCTTCTGGAAGAAATCAAAATGTTCCGTATCTTCGTTCAAATTTCTTTTTAATTTGTAGTTTTGTTCCAATTTTAATATTTTTAAAGAATGCAAAAGTTGTTCAAAAGCGTATTATTTCTTGCAGAAATTATTGAAAAATTCGAAGATAAATAAGTTTTAAATAAATTCTTTTCCCGGCGCCTCCACCATTTTTATGCAAAACTTTAAATTTGACGATTTCGCTTCCAAGATGTAACTACGTGACACAGAAGTTTTTAAGGACTAAAAATTCGTCCTTATTTTGGCCCCATACCTCTCCAGAAACGAAAACAAGTTTGCTCTGAAAAAATGAAAATTTTTGAAATCTGGCTTTCTTTCTTGGTTCAAATGCCTTCTTATTTTCTAAGCTTGTTCAAACATAAATATATTCAAAGAAACGCCTAAATTCTTCAAAAATATATGCTCCTCATGGAAATTTTTAAAGACTCGTGAGATCAATATTTTTTAAATCAAATTTTATGTCCCCGTTTTATTATCACAAAAATTTAATTTGACCACTTGGACCGAAATATGTGAGTACATGAAGGTTTTTTAAGAATTTCTCCCTAGTTTTGCCAAATACATGCCCAAAAAAAATTCTGGAAAAATTAATATGTTCCGAAAGTTGGTTTTACTTCTTAGCTCAAATTTCTCCTTATTTTGTAAGTTTGTTCAAATATAAATATGTTCAAACCAATGCTTAAGCTCTTCAAAATTATCCTCCCCACCGAAATTTTTTGAAAATCCTCACATAAATATTTTTTTAATTAATTTTACCCCGGCGCCTCCAATATTTTTATCCAAAAATTTAAATTTAACCGTTTTAGTCTGAAGAATTGGCTACGTGATAGGAAAGTGTTTCAGGATTAAGAATTTGTCCTGATTTCCACCAGATACCTCTCCACAAATGAAAAAAAATGTTTCATTAAAAAAAAAAAATTGAAAACTGGTTTTCACTCTTGGTTTAAATTTATTCTCATTTTATAATTTTGTTCGAATATAAATATGACAAAGAAACGCTTAAATTTTTTCAAACTTCCGTGATTTTTTTTAAAACAAAAATGTTTACGTTCATTTTTAACCCGGCGACCACTTCGGTTCGAAGATGGGCGTATGTGATTAAAAATTTTCCAAAATTAAGAATTTGTCCTTGTTTTAGCTACATAACTCTTCAAAAACGAAAAAATGGAAAAAATCAAGATATTTTGAAATGTTTTACAATTTTGTTCGATTTTTATTGCGATCCCTCCAACATTTTTATCCAAAAAATTCAATTTGACCATTTCCAAGATTAAGACTTTGTCCTTGTTTTCGCCACTTCTTCAAAAACGAA